TTGGATTATCCCGACAGCTTCAAGAATTGAAGGACCAGGTTTGTTTTTCTTTCTAATCCAGTCTGAAGAGTATTTTAAACCAGTACCGTCATCCAAGGCTCCTTGTATAGCGTTACCATTGAGTCGAATTTTTTGAAGTCGAGTTTCAAGCGACCAGAAAATTTTCTTCAGTTGGGGAAACAAGCATTGTGTTGGGGATGGGAAAGAAAGAATCGCTACTTAAATGAGTTGACGTTTAAGTCGACAAATGAACGGGTTAATTGGTCTTTTACTTCCTTTTGAAAAACATCAAGTTAAATTTTTATTGCTTTTCTCTTTCATGTGTCAATGAAATAATAGTCCGAAGGCCTTCTGAAAATTCGAGCTTAGAAGATCTGAAAAGGAAAGCCTTTGAGCTGGAAAGGTTTTTAAAGCATTGATTCTAAGGGAACTCCGAGAGGGACTTGAAAAAAGTACGTGACTTGTCATTTTTTACAAATTTTTCTAATCGTCACCTATGAAGAAAATGTAAAAATCGATGTTACTTAACGTTAGTTGAGTAATTAATGAATAATAAATTCTTAAGTATTAATAAATCATCAAATAATATTAAATTATCAAGTGATAATAAATTATCAAGTGATAATAAATTATCAAGTGATAATAAATTATCAAGTGATAATAAATTATCAAGTAATAATAAATTATCAAGTAATAATAAATTATCAAGTAATAATAAATTATTAAGGAATAATACTTATTAAGTGATAATAAATTAGGTAATTGTTAAATAATTGGAACGGCAATTAAGAAGGGGAAGCGAACCATAGGTTGAATGTTAGGTCGTAAGTCACTTGAGAATGTCAAGGGGATGTCGTGGAATTCGTTTGTATTTCCTGAGTAGATTTCGCCTTTGAATATATATTTTTGAAGAAAACTAGCGTCGACTTTTTTGACCGCGTTCGACTCGCGAAATGTTTGGGTGAGAAAAAAAAAACCTAGTCATGAAAGCTTTGGAGAGCGTCAGCCGCTGGTGTGATTTTTTTGCCCGTCAGCCCATGATGCTTTTATTTTTATTTTCAGATGTCGGAGCAGCGTAAAATGAAGCAACGAAACACTTTATTGGCATCAGTACCACCGAGTGTAATCCACTTCAGCAAAAATGGCTCGAAAACGTCGAACGAAGAGTCCATGGAATAACTGTGCAGGAAATGTAATACAGCCTCATTTTGGCACATAGTCCTAGTCGTAAGATATTGCTTTGAAGGAAAACAGAAACAAAAAAATTAACTCGCCTTCATATTGGTTCGATGACGATCTTTTCTTTTCGTATATGTGTTCCCGGAGAAGTTGTGTTTGGTGATGTTGTGAAGCGTCTCATGGTCGCGCGATTTCAATTGATGTCGCTTATGTGAGTTGAGTGGCTTAATTGAACGGGACGAAGTAGCTTTTTGGTAAGCTTGAAATATTGGATTATCTTGGAAGTTAGTTCGCTTCTTTCAATATTCTTTTCTTGCGAATTATTGTCAATATTTATAGTTTTGTCAAATGTTGAGCAAATTCGGATGTGGTTTCGTGAGTTCTTCTGTTTTTTTTATCTTTTGCTTTTCAAGAAAATCCAAACATTGCCCAGAAATTGTAGAAAGCCGTCTCAAAATGTCCTCAGTGTTTGATACTGAGAAACTGTTCTGTTCAAGTGATGTTTTGTAATTGATACCGAGGCAACTGCTCCCCAAGCTCCACTTCCTGATGTTTTTGTCATGCGCTTTTTCGGAACTGCGTCGTTTTGCGCCGCGTGAATTTGTATTGTATTCTTCTTTGTTTATGCGTTTATCCATAGGGTTTAATTTTCTATAGTTGCTGAAAGTGTTTGAAAAACTGTAGTCAAATTTCGCCGGTATTCGTGGTAAACTGTGCTATGGAATCGCGTCAATGCGTTGAAATTTGCCATTGAAAATTGTGGTTACCGTTGCTGCATAAAAAAGGAAGTTTCTTTTGGACGAAACATACAGGTTGAATTCCGCTGTAACGAACATCATTGCCAATTCCTTTTCTTTATTATCAATTTAATGCGTTCCCGCGGTGAATGCGAAGGTAATCTTCCTTTTTATGTATATATTTTTTCTCCTGATAATTCTCCTTTCTTGATCGTGTGGGTTCGTTATGGCGGGGCTTTGACCTGTGGTGTATTATTGAAAATCGTCTCATCGCGTGTGTGAGGAATCGCATTGTGAAGTGGAAAGAAGTCGCCAATTTAAAAACCTGTGTTGTGAAAGAGCGCGGTTGTGATCGGAATTGTTCTGCGAGTAATTGAATTGGTAGTAGGAATTGATAAGACAAACTAAAATTCTGCTATCGTGGATTGTGTTTGATTTTTATTTTGAAATTTTAATTTAGCAATTTTTTCAATGATCGAGATTTTGAACTGATGCATTCTGTCTTCCAGGAGATATGATAATCCGATGGTGTTTCCAATACTTGGAGATTCACAGCAGATCAGTACAGTGCTTTGGTTAGTTGACTGCATGAATATGCAGCAGAGGGAAGTACATTTTCTGGAAATTCTGATCTCATCTATATTAATCATTAAGTAATGTTGACATGAATGCGCTAGAATGGCGAACTTATCCCAGACAAAGCCCCTCAAATATGAAGTCATCAAGAAATATTGTACATATCAATTGTAGGTGAACAAGCAACAGGTATGTGAATAGCTCAAATTCATGTCCTAGATTGCTATTGGATGTCCTTGGAAGAATTCTTCAAAATGGATGAACTGGAATTTTATAAAATACAGTATACAGTAATAAAATATATATTGTTGGGACCAGGAAAAAAGGCTTTTTATCTGGAAATAAAAATTTCACGAACCAATTCTTATAACACTGTGACAGTACGTTGCACTGGGAATGAAGAAAAGTTTGCTGTAAGCATTATTCTTTTATATTCACATTCTTCTGGAGCAGCAGAAATATTGCCCAACAATCAGAAATATCATTAAACAAGCGTTTAAATCTGTCAATTAAATACAGTATACAGTACTTTCCTTCAAAATGTTGCCAACAGCAACATTATGTCACAATCTTTGCTATGTGTTGATATTTCTTGATGGTATGGCATTATTGTAATATGAGCAGGGATCAATATCTGGCTAAAATTTGTGACAGCATGTGTCTATTGTGCAAAAAATGGATTACACTATATCGGGCGCCCATCCCAATAGAATGCCAGCTTAGTCCGGCATAGACATCAATACACAGTGTTATTGAAATATTGCACTGTATTATTTAATTTTTGAGTTATCTTGGTTATAAACTTATAGTACAGGTAGATCGTTGCATATAATACAATCTTACAATTATAACCTTGCTTGTGTCAGCTACTTCTAATCACATCCCTTTCATTTTTTTAGCATTGAGGTATTCCAGCTCACGTGCAGTCATGTTACAGTACATTGAACCATGAACGCAGAATAATAAAAATGCTTGCCATTTTTCCATATGTAGGAATATTTTATCGAACAAGTTGCCTGAGGATATTGCAAACTGCAATCTAAATTGTTAATGTCTTTGACACTAAAAATGACTTTTTAATGTTATCGGAGCGCAATGGAAAGATATGTTATCTATCGGTTCTCCAGCCCAGGACGTTGCAGGCGTAATTCGAGGATTATTTCAGCTTCACACTCCAACGAGGAGTTCCTGCAATGCGGCTGCGAAAATCTGTCGCAGCTTCTTCGACTTATCATGCTCCCGCAACTATCATGGCCTCGACCATGGATGAAAATTGTGGATGAAGTTATAAAATATCCATATAAGAAACGCGTCCGCTTGGTGGGGTTGACTCTGGAACATGGGACATGTGCTACAGACCTGGGTGTCTATATGCAAATATAACAGAAAATTATGGATGCACAATGAAATGGACTCTCCAAAGATATGCAGTGGAAGAATGGAGAAACACATACGATTTAGTATAAATCCTGTAGGGCAGGCAGTTTATGGCGTGGCGCAATTCGTTTTACGCTTGAGATGATGGAGTTTCCTGCAATTCTGGATTCCATTCGAGTTTTTTAGCTTTCGAAGTGGTTATCTTGCGGTGCCCTCGCGGAATGTTCTCTGCATTGCATGCAGTGACGCATAGTCCTTCACAAACAGGGTTCATGTCCGCGCGAACAATTCTTCTTTCCGGATAGGTAATGATGTTGTGTCAGAAACGTGTGTGCGTTCGAGAGAGGAAAAAAACGAATAAATAAAGGAGGCGGCTTCGCCGAGCTGGATAATGAGTTTAATTATCAACTGTGGGAAATGCGTTGTGGAAAATGTGTGCTAGATGCTTAATATCTGGTTTGTTTTTCTATACGACCGTACATTACATGCGTGTAGCTTTTTTTTTCCCGAACCGAAGTTTGCGTCGTGAAACGCATTGCTTTTGCCGGTTCGTTGTTCGGGCAAAGCCCGTCATGCAGTAGGTACTGTACACATATTTTTAAATTCTGTGTGATGAAATGGAAAAAGGTAGTTGTATTCTCGTGTCGCCGCTTCAGGGTATCGATGTCAAATGACTTTTACGGAACACCGTTAATTTTTTATTCTCATCTCGTGAACTGCGAACCGTGAAGTTCATACATGCTATTTCTCGTCGTTCTCTGAACTTTCAGATTTTTACGATTTTTGTCGATGAATGCCGGCAATGGCTTCAAATGCAAACTTGTATCAAATCAGTGATTATGTGTATTTTGAAAGCTCGCCATCGGCGCCTTTCGCTATCCGGCGCATCGAAGAACTGAACAAATCGGCTAACGGAAGTGTCGAAGCGAAGGTCTTATGCTTCTTCCGGCGTCGAGATATACCTCCGCCATTGCTGATCCTCGCTGATAAGCATGATACAGGTATTGTTGCAAAACCTGTTGATGAAAATGGCGAAGAGGAAAAGGCATCTGTAGTGAGTGAAGATGATGATGGATTGACGGTGGAACAGCGTCATCATGTCAAGCATCGCGAACTTTTCTTGTCACGTCAAGTAAGATACACAGTAATTTGTTCGGAGGTTCAAGTAAATTATTGTGATATGGTTTTCGTTCAGGTGGAAACGCTTCCAGCGAGTCAAATCCGGGGGAAATGCTACGTCACGTTACTGAATGAAACTGAATCTTATGCTTCGTACCTGAACAAAGAGGACACATTTTTCTACTCTCTGGTGTACGATCCTCAGCAGAAGACATTGTTAGCTGATAGAGGAGAAATTCGCGTTGGACTGAAATATCAGGCAGATCCTGTCACTCTCAGTGTTAAACCTAACGGAGTTTCAGAAAAAAATTCTGAAAATTTAGAAGAATTGTTGTGGGACCCGGAGAATCATCTGTGCAAAGAAGAAATCGAGGAGTTTTTGGTTTTAGCGAAGGTATTTATCTTAGCATATTTATGCGACGAGCCAATCAAGCATGCTCGTGTTTTTGCAGTCTGTAGGGACATTCGCTAGAGCTGTGGATTCTAGCGGAACCGTAAAAACTGGGACCCTTCAAGCAGGTGCCGCAGCTGCCTGCAGAGACGCCACGTCATTGTACGCAATGAAGTTACTACACAAGTGTAATTATGACTGGGCGAAAAGTGTTCGAGCGCTCGTTCCTTCTGGAAGGTAAGATTTTTCATGCATTATTTTCCCCAAGTCCTGTACTCTACCCGCGCGAAAATGTGACACACTTCTCCTGGTTTGAATAACAATTTACACGAGTTTCTGAACACAAATGATAAGTGTGGGATTATGGGGTTTGTCCTCAAGTGTTCACGAATTCAAATTATCGCAATTCATTGATCTTATTTATATTACTGGTACAAGTTCGGAAATCGCGGTGATTTCTAGTCTGAGCATTGTTTCAGTAATTTTGGCAGCTGTTTACTTTTTGCTGCTCGTTTTTTTTTTCGAAAAGAACCTTTTTTTGTATTGGCTTCGAGAATTTTTTTTTTTCAATCTGAAGTTAAATTGTCGACAGTCGGTGTGATTTATCATGGCGATGCAATTTTTTCGAAAATGTAATATTTAAGGAATCTGTACCATTTTTGGTCCATGATCGAGTTTCTGGCACTGTAGTATGTGTTGAGAATTGAGGAAATTTTTTTTATCCGATTCGCCGACGAGCTCATGTTAAGTGCAAAGTTCTGATACAATAAATGTAGTTTTCAATTTTGAATTGATGCATTACGTATTCCCTGACTTATTTCCTTGATCAGTTCAATGTTTATGCAGTAGTAATTGACTATTGATATTGTTCAGATGTTTCAAGTTGATCATTGCCTGTAAAATCAATACCGAATGTGGGAACCCCAGCAAAATGTATCTCCGACATGTTGGGGTATCCGATATCCGTGCGAGTTCAAAAATATAATTTTGTATCATATTTTGTTGAATATTCATTCCACAGCCCTGTGCTCTGTCGTGACGAAATGGAAGACTGGTCCGGAGCGGAAGCTGCGTTGTTTGAAGAAGCTATGGACAAATATGGGAAGGATTTCCACGATATTCGATCCGATTTCTTGCCCTGGAAATCGATGAAAAGTCTGGTAGAGTTTTACTATCTGTGGAAAACGACGGACAGATATGTTGCACAATCAAAGGCGAAGGCATTGGAGGCTGATGCAAAATTGAAGCAGGTAAGATAAATTTGAATCCTAAATTTTGATTGAAGGATTGAATCGGTTTCGTTTTTTTTTTTAATCAAGGTATATGTTCCAAGTTACAACAAGCAAAGCCAAGCAGCAATCTCGAATGATCTCTCAACGACCAAAGTTTTGAATGGGGATGGAAGCGCTATTAGTGGTGGTCATCCCTGTGCTTCATGTGCAACGTGTTTCTCGCATCAGTGGTATACTTATGGTAAGCATGTTTTTCTTCTAAAAATTTTTAATGCAGTAGAACCATTTACACGAATGCCATTTGATCAAATTTTTGTTCACACCGATTTTCGAACGAACGAACTTGCAGTTTATTCATGTGTTTTGAGTCGTGATTCAACTCATTTTTATACAAAGATTTGTTGCTTTAAATTTTCGAGTGAAACGCTCGCAGGAATGCGCAGAGAGGTGCGTAAAGAAGGACAATAAAGAATTTCCTTTAACAGGAGACCTATTTTAATGCGATCCGCATTATTTTGTAAAATTTCTACCTAGAACTTGCGGCACATATTTTTTGGGGCAGTCGAAATGCTCCAGTGCATATAAAAAACATCGAAGGCGATGAAATTTGAAGTGACGCGGTAATAATGTAGAATACTATTTCGAGATACGCTTGAGAAAGTGTTATTGTCCTATGCCTGGCCTTTCATGTTCAGAATTTTCAAGATTTTATTCCAATATTCAAAATTGTACTAAAAGAAGATGGACCTCAATGGAGGAAAACACTTTTCTTAAAACTGAGCCTTTTTCGAAAGGTCTTCTGACTCCTCGATGTAAAATTAAAATCCTGTGAGATGCACCAGCCCTAAAACAATGCGTCAACCTGGAAGGAAAAGAAATCACATTTTGGACGAAAACCTCCAATGTTAGCATAATATTACTGTGAATTGATCATTTTTCCCGTCTTCACTTCGATGATTTCCAGTCCTCATCTTGAAAAGATAAACCTCAGTATTGCTTATGTGTTTTTCAGGCGGTTCTCAACGATTATGCAGTAGTTGTTGGCAGTATTGGAAGAAATTTGGTGGATTACCGAACCCGAAGGCCGTGTCCAACAACACCGTCAAGGACGAACCTGACGTGTCAATGACGATCGTGGTCGACCAGAATTACCCCCCTAGGCCCGAACCCAAGCCCCTGCTTGCTCCTCGCAGTTCATCCGCGTCTGATTCCAAAAGCAACTCCAATTTCCGAAGCAGAGCCACGAATGGTCTCGAAGCTCTTCCAATGATAACAACTCTTTCAAGCGGGAGATCCATGATGAAAACTCGAATCGCGTTCGTGTTGCAAGCTAATCAAGCTACGAAACTGTCGCGGTACTTCTGCAAGGATTTGATTTCCCCGCGTCGGCTCGCGAGGTGTCCTTTGCGGAATGTTAGCTTAACTAGTGTCAAGGCCTCGTTGGTGTCTAAATTGGCGAGGAAAGATGCGAAGAAGATGGATGCTGCGTTGAGAACGCTGAAGACTGCTCCGAGGCCCAATTTGAATACCATTGCGATGGGCTTGGGGCAAGTGGTCACTTTGGTGAGTAATTTTTTTCGAGTCTTTGAATTGTTGAAGACACGATTGTTTGTTCAGTATTTTTTCTATTATATGTGAGAAAAAGAATTTTCAAGTACAGTACTGTGTTGAAAAAGTATTTCTGAAATTTTATCAGTAATTTTGAAATCTCTTTGATGAACGATGTCGCAAATTTGACGACCGTCTTAATAAATTAATCGTCTAAATACTCTAAAATGTGATGTTAATGATGAGAGAAGCGAAGGCTGTCCTGGAAATCAAATGGCTACCGATTATTAGCCGAATTCACGGCTGAAAATGAAAAGAATACTTTACAGCGAACGAAGACTTGATATCGACCTAACGGTGGATGAGAGAAAACTCACCTGGAAATTTGAGTACCTCAGAGAACTCATTCCTGAAGAACATTACGGTACAGCACAGTACTGGAATAACTTGAGAATTTGTGTGTGTCTGATCACCTTTTCGCCTTGTGGAGGGAAGATTTGAACGCTTTGTGGAGGATGGCTGAAAATTTTCTTGGATGGGTCTCTTGACTTTTATTTAACAATTATAATTTTCAGACGTAAGATTTCGAAAATTTAAAACTTCAGCGAATTATGTAATGACAACACGTATAAAAGTTTTGCAAGTCGAGATTAAATGTTTTCGAGCGTTTTTTTCTTCCACGAAAATTGGCATACGTAATTCAAGTATTGGAATACGTTCCATATTGTTACCGTGTTTGACGGCTTCAAATATTTTCGTGTGTAAATTTCGTAAAATCAGATCGGCGTCAATTTTCGGAAGGGAATCTAGCATTCAATTAATGTATACGGTACTCCGATGTACGCGTGCGTCCGTGTTCACTGCATTATAAAAACGAGGTGTGTGTGTGCGCTTTTTTTTTTCTTGAATCTTCAACAGATTCCTGCCATCTTGGCACCCATTGACAAAAGCAGCCAAGGGACGGGTTTCGTCGCGTTTCCCAAGCCCGAGAAACGCAAAGACGGCTCTTTAATTTATGACGAAGTTCCGAGTCGAACGTCTCGTCCCTCCACACCCCAGATGTCGAGCGGTTTATTCGACGCCAGCTCGAGGGGAACCAAGAGAAAAGCAGGCGCTTACGAGCAACCCCTGATGGGAGCGGACTATTCTTCCAAAAGGCTGGCTCCGGTTCCCGCGGTGCCCGGAACTGGATTGACTCTTCAAAAGGTGAGTTTTGGTTTTAAGTTATTGGCAAATTACAAGGAAAGCCAAAAACAGTTCCAAAAATATACGGTAAAATTTCGTTGTAGCAATTTTTTCTTCGCAGCGAAATTTTTGAACTGTCCCGACGGTTCCTCTGTAGGAACTTTGTTACAGGTGGACTCTCACTACAACGATATTCAGCGTTGTAGTTCGTTGTAGAGAGTATTGTTTGTCCGATAGGGATCTCTACCCATAATAAAAATGTTCTCTAGAATTAAATTCAGGGACGGGGAGAAAACTATTCGTTGTCGAGATTTTTTTTTTCCTATAGGGGGGTCTCTCTTCATATTATAATGTTTCTCCACGATGAAAATCAGGGGACCAGAAGAAAAAAAATCGTTGGAGAGAATTTTTTTTTGTCCTTGAGGTTCCTCCTCATATAAGAATTCTGTACAACAAAATTTGGGGGACCAAAAAATCTTTGCAGAGAGAATTTCGCTGTACAGAGAGAGGGAGTCTATCTGTATACAAATCTTGTTTAAAAAGCGTATTTTTAGAATAAAAACTACTGAAGTAGAGCTATACTGAAAATGCCGAAGTTTACGTCGTCCCAGGCATCCAAAAGGTCTTGACGCAGTGTTGTGAAGTTGTGTGGAAAGACTAATACTTTCCTAATCACTTGGAAGATCCCTTCATGCATTCTTGAATCACTTATTCTACTTCATTGATGAAATACACACTTTTTTTGCATGGAATACCTTGAAATAACTCTCGAATGTTTTTGAAGTAGGAAGAAAAAATGGCAAACGCCGTGAAGAATATTAAAAAAAGCTTTCACCCACGCGGGAAGTGACGCCGGCTGCTAAATTTCCCACAGCTACTTCGATTACTGTATTTTGAAGAAAAATAACGCTTTCATCGCACCGCCCTCAGGAAAAAGTGGCCGGTAGATCCTGGAAAAAAAACCTGTTTCCGAGGCATTTGTTCGAGCTGCCGTAATTACGCATTCACTAAAATGGAATGTAATGAGGCACCCGACTTACTGAAGTAAACTCACCCGACCAAACACGAGACAAATCAGAAAAAAATCCCAGGACAGTACGAGTTACTGAGTCTCACTGATAACAGTATTACTGATGATTAACTCATGGAAACTCGAAACATATGGAGGATTAAGTCGAGCTGGTGAATTTCGGCTCGAACGTGAATGACTATTTTTCAGTTTTTGCTATAAAAACGTGTCCCAGTGTTAGGAAGTGACGGAAGTAATTGAACTGAAAGTCGAAATACAATGCCATGTCTCGAAAACTAAAAATGTCCCGAATTGAATTCGCCTTCAGGAAAATTTTCAACTTCGTGTACCGTGATGTATTTACTCGGTACCATGCCCCCTCATGTAAAACGAATGCCTTAATCTTTTTGAAAGCAATCCCTGTAAAAGATTCACGACGAAGTTTTCCTCAGAACGATGATCGATTTATTTTTTAGGAAAAAACGCAAAACAAATTGAAATTCATTTTTACAATTTGAATCCAGTTGTGCTGCGCGTGTTTTTGTTCCAAGTGCCATGGAACAGTTCGATTTGAGTCTGAATCATCTTTGCATTCCAGTCTACAAAAATTGTGTCGCGAAACTTCTCTGGTGTAATGCTTACAGGAATATGACGTGCGCTGCAATTCTTGAGCTGAATTTCTGAAGAAAAAGTTGCGTTTGGTACTTGAATTTCAGTAGGCTCCGTTACAGTACAGGTGATTCTGATATCAATGTTTGTCTTCCCTCATTTTCTGCAATCGAGTCTAAGAAAATAAACTCAGGTCTCCTGGATCAGATTCGTGCTAATCGCTTGAGTTTGATGAAATTTTCAACGTTGCCAAAATCTTTACCCACTAGACTATAGGACTTCGTCCACTGCAGTGAAAGTTGCCACGTTGGAATCCCATCAAAAACTGACTGATTAGCTCCAATCTCATCCAGGAAAGTTATTTTCTTCATTCCTTTCGCAATTTTTGGGTTAAAAAATCCAACGAAAATTACGATCTCCCAATAAAAATATTTTTGCGTGTATTTGAAAGGCTTTGACCTGCCATGATTTTCATAATTTAAATTTTTAAATTCCTAAAATCAAGCACCCTTTCTTGAAGTGACTATTTCGAAATTCGGTTACTACTTTCATAATCGAGATTTTTCGGTCTAGATGCAATTTTTAAATCCACTTCTGTCTTTTCTCTCTGGGGACCCTATTTATAAAATTGTCGTAGCGACCATTATATTGTCGATTTTCGAGAAGTGTAAATAAATTTTCGCTAAATTTCAGTCGAGTATGAATGAACCTTTTTTGTTTCTATATTTTTGCTTGAAAATTTGCTCGACGTTTTCGGAGCTACTGTGTACAACAGACAATTGATAGTAGTGTGTAAATAAAATACGGTATAATATAATCCGAAATTTGTCTCTGGGCTTGGCAAATAATTCTGTTTAATATTCTTTCATCTCAGGGGAGTTCAAAGCTTCAAAACTTCGCCGTCACGTCGCTGATCGCGCCGCAGATGGGGATAGCCGCCGGATTGGCTCAGATGCAACAGCAAGTTTTGCAAAGAACAGTCGGCAGACTCAATACTTCATCTGCAATCCCTTCCCCGGTCCCGGAACGCCAAAAATCGTCGCACAAGAATCAAACGCCTTTGAGCTACACTCCCGGAAGACGTGGTTTAATGTCCTGGGTTGATGCCCCAGACGATGTGTACTTTAAGGCCACTGGGGCGACGAAATCCTTGCGGAAACAGGTTGACATTGTGGCTGTACGAAGAGCCGCGAGAAGGCCATGGAGGATAGTGAAATGATCTGTAAAACTGTTGAGTGTTTCGTGTGGGGGTGGGAGGGTGTTGAAGCGTGTCGCTGCGTATTCCCTATGTTCTCGGAGAAATGTTCAAAACCTTTTTATTTTTTGAGTGATTCCGTTGTTTTCTTAATTCCAGGACTGTGGATTTTTTCCCTTTTTCCTGCGACTGTCATGATTTGTAAAAGATTGAAGAAAATGGAGGGGGGTCGAGTTAAAAGGTTTGCGTGTAGTGGATTCTTTTTTTTTTTTGAAGACCCACGCTGGTCTGGATATTTTTGGTCTCATCGTTTTTGCATTAAGGGAGCGTGGACTTCATAGTGATTGTTAATGTTCGAAATTTTTGTAAGACGGCGACGAATTGCGGTCGTTAAAAAAAGAAATCGAGTTTCATTAATCGTAATCGTTGCTCTTGATTCTGAAAGAAAAGGCCGGGTTTGAATTTTTGAAGCCATTACAATAGTCCATTTCCAAACTTTTTGACGGCGAGATCCTGATACATTTCAGTGGAAGAATTTCAAACCTTTGAAGTTTCAGGAACATTTTTTTTCCGGTGATCCTCCTTCCATCTATGCTGTGATGGCCTGAATTACAATTCCTTTATGATTTTTTTATTGTCGCGATTAAGGCAAATGTCATGCTTTTCGTTGATTTTGTTCAAAATTGCGTTCCGAGATGACGCCGTTACTTCCACTGGTTGTAAATTGATTGTATTCGACTTATTTAAAATGTCAACGCATCTTTTTGTGTGGAAAAAAGTGAAGCGCGACAAGACATGTGTTGTTCAATTTATTATTTTCTTCCGAACGGCGTGCCAAGTTGATATTTTGAGTTTCATGGATGTCTCCTCTTCTTTTCAGGTGATGAAGGAAAGTGACCGCGGAGTAAAAGCGGTTTGAGCTGTACAAAATATGACGAAAAAGGTTGTTGAGATCATTGCGGTGACGTCAGTTTTTATGAAAACGGGGAAAAATCGAGTGCATTCACGTGAACTGCATTACTTTTTGAGAATTTTGGGTAACATGCCTTTCAAACCACATCGAAAACTTAATGAATTCCAGCTGGGTTCATGGCCTTCTTACGATTTTATCTTGAATCTTGTAAATATGTCCCGTTAATAAGAGTCCAATTATAAGCGTATGAATTCGATGCACGTGATCGACTTCAACTTCGTGATTCTTTCGAGTAGAGCTCGTAAAAATGTAATGATGCGGTCGTGTTTAATTATCTTTTTTAATTCTTCGGCGTTGTCAGTCGTGCTCATTTTAAAAATTATGAAAATGCGAGCAACATTGTTTTTGAGAAACAGCGGGTGCAATTCAGTCTATCGTCTGCTGACATCCTTGAAAGAGTGTACGAAATCAATCTATTTCTTTAAATTTCAAGTTTGTTTCGACAATTTTATCAAGATTTTTTCCAAATATTGTTGTTCGAAAGGCAGATTAACCCGTCAAGTTAATGAGAGTCAACTATCTTCGTTGTCTCTTTGGTACGCTCGTTTCAAATGTCATTCATTTGGGATTACAATTTTTATCGTCAGTTATCGCAAAGCCAGTGATGGTTACGGCAGAATCATCGCTGTGGGATTTCGCTTGATTTCATCAAATTGTTAATTCTGTTAAGTGTATTTCTTTTTCTGTCACTTTTCAAGCGTTTGAGTGATTTCTAAATTGTAAACTGCATGGTTAAAAATTACTCGGAAGTATCACGTTGAATTGGAGAAAACAGACAAGCTGATATAACAAAATTAATTCGCGAATTAATTAGTCATTTTGATTTCGAATGTTCGGGAAGTTGTGATTTGAACATTACCAAGATATTTTTCGCCAAGTGTTGAAATTAACTTTCGCAGAAAAAAAAACGTAATTCGCGTTATTCCCTGGCCCTGCATGGAGAATCGCGAGTGCGTCTGCTGAAATGGCGGATAACGAAGAGTGTGCCAATCGCGACGGCGAAGAATCGTCGGACCTGGATTGCGCCGTGTGCCTTCAGTCATGCGTGCACCCAGTGAAGCTTCCTTGCGGACACCACTTCTGCTACTTGTGCGTAAAGGGCGTCGCGTTGTTGAGCAAAAAATGTGCCATGTGTCGTCAGGAAATTCCGTGGGAATGCCTGGACAACCCGGAATTGTTGCGAGAGGAAGAGTTTATTCGGTCCGCGTCGGAAACCTCTGCAGAAAAGTGGTATTACGAGGGTAGGAATGGTGAGTTGTATTTTTGTTAATTTTTCTCGAAATTGCTCATCTGATGAGTTGAAGGTGTTCTCTTCGCAAAAAATTCGACAGAAGAATATTTTAAAGAAGTGCTGTACCTTCGAGACATCTTGCTAGTTGAAACTTCTGACTGCTGCTGGATGGTGTATAGTTTTACCGACTTAATCTCGGTGATTTTCGTTTTAAAGGGTGTCAAGAAATGGGAAACCTTTGATGAAAATATACTCTCGTAATACAATTGTTGATCTGGGTTTCTTCTCTGTGTCCATCACCGCACTATAATCGCATTATAACTAGAACTACGGGTAGACTCTTTTTACGATGATTTTTTCTTATCTACCTTTTTTTTCATATGTGGGTCTCTTAACAATATTATAGAGGTTCTCTACGACGGATTCTTCTTGCTTCTTATTCTTCTTTCATGCATTTCGTTGTGGATTGAGTCCACCTGAAACTGTCCTCATGAAAGCTTATTTTTGTAGATTTCCTTGATGCGAGCAGTTCATTTCACACGTCCGGGACGTTTTCAAAAACCAATTTGTGTGCACTTGTGCGTCCTTTTTCGCGAAGTTTGAAAGCTACAAAAAGCTGCGTTTTCTGCTGAATATCGAATTTTGAATACATTAAGTTTTATCCGAGTCGCATTAATTAGATGGAATCACGGAAGATTAGGATTTCAACCATTAAATTTTGTGAACACTTCCGTGGGATAAAAAAAAACTCGTTTTTCTTTTATGAAAGGATGGTGGCAATATGACGATAGGACGAGTGCGGAACTTGAAAATGCATTCACGAAAAATGAGGCTGTCGTTGAAGTTCTCGTCGCTGGCTTTGTTTACATTGTGGACCTCATTCAAATGACTCAGGTGAGCGGTTGATTTTGTCGAAATCCTGCATATTTCCTCTGAAAATGGTGGAAAGAGCGTTTTCTGATTAAATTCGAGTCCGAGATTTTATTTACTCGTAACTTTTCCCGATCTCTGTCCCCTTCACAGCTTGAGTCCCCCTAATATTTCACTTTGTCTAAAACTCGTAAAGTTTATTATCTGGGGTTCCACGGAAAATTGACAAGGTATTCGTGTTTCCCCATTTTTATTCGCAGTGCCGTAAGAATGGCATGGGCCGGGTCCGTAGTGTGAAGCGGGATTCTGGCCAAATCCCGAACAAAATCGGTGTCGCCGGTTTGCGTCTCCGGCCTGGCGGCGCCCCGAACAACCGCCGAAACAACAACAGGGACGCCGATGGCGGAGAAAATCCGCCGCCCGCTCCTCCCGTCCGCAACGCTTCAATGCTCGGTAGAGTCATCTGTGATATATTCAACCTTTTTCGGGTGTTTGTGGCAACAATTTGGCGTTGGTGTAATTAAGAACTGCATTTTAAAATCAAGAATTGTGCTGACAACAGATTTTTCATTGTCTGTAATTTTCTTATGGGATTGCGCGGAATTGTACCGCGCAAAAAAATGTGGGTCTTTCGCGGGGTAATTTTGAGCAAACGTGGAAACGAATCCAATTCAAAGGTGTTTGTTGTGTCGATCTCGATTTCCTTCCGCATGTTCTTGGAGAATACTGTATACGAATGTCAGCAGGATTCGTTGTGTGAGTCATGGTGCGCTGTGCGAGTCGTTATATAAGTACAATTCTCAATTTTGTTGTTAAATTATTTAGTACTGTATAGAAATTTTGGGGTTTTCATCATAGTAAGGCATTCGCAATTTCAAAGAACATAGGGGTTCCTTCGTATTCTGAGGACTGGCTTGAAATTTTAATCTCCATTATATTTGAGATTATGAGGTGCGTTTCAAAGAGAAATGGGAAAATCCTGAGATCCTCCGAACAACCGAGGAATATTGGGTTTACTTATTCATTGATGGGACAGGAAAAGGAAGATTTGCCCTTCTTCAGATTAAGGCCCTGGGAAATTATGCTGAAAAAATTATTCGCATTCGGGATTCGAAGATTTTTATAGAAGGATGAAATTGCGACATCCTCAGGAAAACGCGTTTCTATTTGTTAAAGTCACTCTGGGCTTGAGCAAAAAAATTCCATTTCCCCCGGAAATATTATTTCTTGTTGAAATTGTATCAGGATTTTTTTTTTTCGTTCCTTCACTCTGTCCCGCCTTCGAAATCCCATTTTTATGCGTCGGAATTTCCGCGAAACATACGCAAATTTGCCCAGTATTTCTTCCCGAGAAACCCGACGATTATAAATTTATAATCATGACTTCGGCTTTAATGATCGAAATTTCGTGTGTTCGTTTGCTGGGTACAATTTTTGAGTGCTTGCTGTCTTCTGTTTCTGGGTGCAGCTGATGTCGACGGGGCGTCGGATAACCAGCTGCAGGACGCCGTTTCCACGCGTTTCCGCCAGCTGCGATTGGAGTCGACCACTTCTCCGCCTCCGAGGCGTCGGCGTCCCCGTGAATGACCGACTTGCCATTTTGTTTCCCCCTGCATTCGTGATTCGCCCGTTCTGTTTTAATGTCTGGAACTTGTTTTGGTGCATTGAAGACAGTTTTTTTCGCTCTCCAAAGAATTTAATAGGTTGATTCGAAAATTAGATGCTTTCCTGTCGCTGGAAAGCCTCCGAGGGTTTTTTTTTTTTTTTTTATAGAATCTCAAGGTTGGTTTTTATTTAAAATCAATTGATGGTGCATTCAATAAAAACCCGAACCCCGTTCTTTCCCCGACTTGAAGGGGTTATTTTTAATTAAAGGCGAAATGGAAGTTTTTTGGAGGACGATTTCGAATGTTGAAGGCAATATCGAAAAGAAAAAAACAAGTTTCGGAGTTTTGAGTTGCGGTAGCCATTTTGTGGAATTCTTTTTGGAATTTCCTTGTATATCTTCTCAGGAAAGGAAAGAGTGCATCCGCTGCTTAAACGGATGAGGAACGATTTTGTGGTGTTATTGCAAGATCTTGGCGATCGGGTCGGAGGATTAAAAATTTTTGAAAAACAGGATTTTCGGATTTCGATTGACTTTTTATGAGAATTTTGTTGGATTATTGTTGAAAGATGCTGTACTTCCGCGGATATGAGACATCAGGGATTCTCGAAGTATCATGTGCAATGAATTTCTTGAAACCAAGTGAAAGTTTAGTACAGGTGTCGAAAACAAAGACGCTATGTCATCATACAATTGACTAAAAGCCTTCCAACCGAGTGTGCGTGAAATTGTGCATTCATTTGAAATTTACAATGCATTCTCAAACAAAATAAATTGAAATGATCTGCTGTTAGAATACTCTAATAACTGAATTTTCTTTGTCGTGAAATCAAACTTACACGCAAATAAAATGACTCCCCACATGAAAAAGACGATGGAAAATTCGCCGTATGTCCTCTGAATCTAATTGGGTTCGAAAGAAGAGCTCGTCTTTGATCAAAGCTCAATTTTTTATTGAATCAATGCGAAGGAAAGAAAATATGTGCTAATTTATTATTTGAAGTACTGCGAAATTTTATGTGATCCGAGGTATTTAATTCAAATTATGATCAAATTTTATCCAATTTTGTGTGCTAAAAACATGAAACATGTTCAACGAATGATAGTTCTCAACTTCGCAGATTTTGAGAATCAACGATGACAGGGCATTTTTATGCATTGTACCTTTTAATAAAAACCCCGGTATTTATTACAGTAAACAGAAACAATAGGCGTCGTTTCATATTCGTGCAAATACCGTATCAATTTTCCAACGTCGCAGACGGAATTGGATGTGATCTTTCAATTTATTCTTTCTTGTTTGATCGAACGTTGATAACTGTTGGTTGGTTTGTTTTGCAGCGTATGTACCAAACCGGACTCGTTTTCCGTGGACGTGGAAAACGAGTTATTTTCCCTGAAAACGTGTCGTGGCAGGAATCAGAACAGGTTTCTCTCGTTTCCTTCGCGGATTTTCCTTAGCTCGTGTCGGGGTGAAGCAAAAAATATATCTGAAGTGGTGAAAGGTGTTTTTAAGGAATCGGAATACCAGTGACCTGTCAACTGCTGTGTGATTCGGTGATCGTGAGGCTTTGGTAATAATTTAATCGTTAAACGTGAAAATTTGTGATCGGCTCTTCTTGGATTGCCCAGAGTCCTTGATTTTATCGTCTGTTTCCCAGATGTCGGCTGAATTCATGGGGTGAACTCATTTTAGGTCAGGTTTGGTGTTGTGTTTGGTCATGGAAGATGATTGATGCGTTATACATTCCACGAAAATTAGAATATTATTTGCAAGTGGTGAAAGTAAATATGAAATTTAGGTTGAAGTAAGATGCGCAGTTTTATGCGAGAGAAAAAATCGTGGCAACTCTCGGACATCACGGAAATGTTTTTCGCTTGAAAAAAATTTAATTCAACGGAATTATGTATGCATTTTATTTTATGTATGAAAAAATATATGCAATCTAATGAGAGTTTACTATCCGGAGCGAAATTCTGTACCAATCGAGTTCTTTATGCGAAACGTTCATTATTCGGGTTATCCCTCTCATTTGCGTTCGAAGAAATTTTGTAATGTAATGTTTTCGATGGGCAATCACTGTTTTTGTAGTATGTTATCGTAATCAGAGTCCACTATCCGGAACATTCCGAGTCCATCGTGCCTGAAATCCGTTATGCGAGGTATTTATTAACCGGTTCATCATGTGACGCACGTTTTAGCAATCACTGTTTTTGTAGTATGTTATCGTAATCAGAGTCCACTATCCGGAACATTCCGAGTCCATCGTGCCTGAAATCCGTTATGCGAGGTATTTATTAACCGGTTCATCATGTGACGCATGTTTTTAACGACTTCGTACTTGTGCTTGCTAGTGAACGTGACGAACTGTGTGAGTGCGATGATGCTCGAGAACCATAACGAAGACAGATCTAGAATAATAAGTTGTGTATGACAACTGCGGGGATTATTCGGGTTGTGGCTTTGAATGTGTGAGTGAGTGAGTAAGTGAGAGAAAGAGAGCGAGAGACACACACAACTGGCGAAGTTTCCGGTGTCGAGCTTAGTACGGATGCGGGAGCGACGTTGGGGGCTCAGATCGAGGATGGACCGCAAGTTTTTCAACGTGTTCATGTTGGGCTTGGCCTTCATGCTGTTGTTCACTGCATTTCAGACTTCGAGCATCATTGAGGTGAGTTTTGTAATGATTTCCCTTTTTCGTGGTGACATAGTTTTTTTTTTTTTTTTGAGTGGGTTAGGTCAGTGTTTCTCAGCCTTTTTTGGGCCCGCGGACCGGAAAATTTCCCCAGCATCATTGAGGTGAGTTTTGTAATGTTTTCCCTTTTTCGTGGTGACATAGTTTTTTTTTTTTTTTTGAGTGGGTTAGGTCAGTGTTTCTCAGCCTTTTTTGGGCCCGCGGACCGGAAAATTTCCCCAACTGGTGAAGTTTCATAAAATTGTTGCGAACTCGAAGAAATTTTGCTTGTAAGACGTTATGGGCAGGTATTCAAAAAGTTTGTTTTTTTGTTGCTGAAAAAATGAAGTTGAGAACCAATGAAGCAGCTACCATGGAATGTCTTGGAAAATTAGAAAGCTCGGCTTGAATACATTTTTTTAGAATGAAAAATTGAAATAATTTATTTCGGCAGGTGAGAATTGGTCTGAAGTGTTATCAGGAGAAAAACAAACTCCTATTTTTTGCTAAAAATTAGAAAGCTGTACTTGAATACATTTTTCTCAGAATGAAAAATAAAAATAATTTATTTCATCGGGTGAAAACTTTTATGAAGCGTTATAAGGAGAAAAGCCAAGTTTCATTTTCCATCGATTAATTTCGACTGCCATTGTCTTTCCAAACTGGCGAAAAATTTCGGCGGGTTTCCACGGGTTCAGGAACATTTGTTTAGGTTAGGTAGTGATTCTCCATCTCTGGTACTCCCTGAAGCCCTGAGGGCTCCGCCTAAATTTGTTGGGCACTTTCCTTGGAAGCTACACTGACGGGAAGTGCATGAAAAATATAAAATTGGATTACGTTTGGGAAAACCATTGAAAACTGCGATGTGTGCATTAAAATATAAATGCTTTATTTCTGCCTATAAATTGTTAAGGGCTAGTTTTTCCGTCACTGAGGTACCTTCGTAAATTAATAGCCCGAGAGGCTCCATCATATTTATTGATTCGAAAAATGGCTTCGTTCGTTTCATTAGTTGGGAATCTCGGGATTTAGGGATTTTAAAAACTGGTGTTCATGTATTTTCTTGGTCGACATTGTTGATTATGTATAACTCAAATTTCCTGCTGTCTTCTTAAAATTATCAATTACAATGTAATCTCAAGGTAAACATTGTTGCTTGAAAAAGCATCCAGGAACGGATTAATTTCGTATGGCGGGGACCCATTGTATTTTTGGACTATATGTTCATCTACCATTTTTGCCCGAGAACGATTTGAAATTTACATAGACGGAAGGACGTCATTCTATGTACAATTCTGTACTCGGGCGTTGGAGATGCGAATGTTCTATCCTTGATTTAAAAAAAAATTGAAATTTTGTGTTCATGGCCTCGAATGTGACTTTTTGAGGAGGAAGAAGGTGTTCCGGTGTTGACATGCATGGTCGAAGCCTCGTGTTGACCTGACTTCATTTCTCAAAAGTATTCATGGATGCGGAATATTCGACATCACCCTTTTCTTGTATCCTTTTCTTTTACTGCATATTTTTGACCGAGAGCAGAGGAATTATTTACTGTACTTAGAATTTTCAATTTTTTTTTCTCGCAAATTTCGTTTTTAGAAAACGGTTCTGGAAAGCATTCGTGCTGAAGATCCGAGCTTCACTGCTGATGGATACGTGAGCTTGGCAATAATCTATGCCGCCTTTTCCGTCGCCAACTGGATCGCTCCTTCCGTCATTTCCGTGGTCTCTCCGAAATGGACGATGGTGATTGGGGCTTCACCTTATGTGTGAGTCTTGAACATTACACCGGAAATGCCATTTCCAGTGTACCTTTTCCAAGGTACTATACGGTGGGACCCCGGAATGCGGACTTAATTGTTGCTTGGACGTCGTCCCAATGTCGGAATGTCCGCATGTCGGATCACGTTTTCCCATGAACTTCAATGGGAGCATATTCAATTGGTTCTCGTGTTCATCGCAAATTAGAAAAAAGTCCCCCAGAAATTGAATGAAAATGTTTTTCTCTGCTAGAACATACTGAAAATTCCTGCGCAGGAGAAAATCATGCAGAATCTGATCTTTTGGCATGAAAATGAGCCCAAAAAGAAATGAACAATTCTTTCTGTTCTTTCCACGGATGATGGAAAAATATACACGAAATTCTCCTTTTTTTTGATTATGAAGAAGAGTAAATTTATAATGAAATTATTTTTCAATTCATGAGAGTATAAAAAGCTCAATACTGTATGTTGAAAAGATATCAACATTTTGAAAATAAATTTGAGGCGCTGAGTTTTGAAGGGAAGAATTGCGTTTCATCCAAATTTGTGTTTCATTTTTTTTGGCGTTGGCAGGGTATTTATTGGATCATTTCTTCGGCCGACGACGTGGCTTGTTTATTTAATGTCAGCATTGCTGGGGATCGGAGCTGCATTACTCTGGACTGGTCAGGGCACATACTTGACCATGAACTCGGATGAAGATAACATGGTGCGCGACTCGGGCATCTTTTGGGCCATGATGCAAACGAGGTTAATGTTCCCTTCAGTGGAAAAGGGCATCGTTATTAAACCTGCCCCTGCCACTTCTTTTTCTTCTTAGAAGTTGTATATCTCCCCTCCTGTGCCGCAATAAAGAAAACCTGAAAAGAATGAAGCTTAAGTTGACATTTAACCAGCGTAAAAAGAAAAGAACATACTGTATACCAAACTCACCCTGACGAACTTGAGCTAACCCGTGCGAGGATGGTTCGAAAGTTTTGTTATAATTTTTTCATCAGTTCTCTAAATTTCAATCCAGTCGGGAAAAATTTAGAATATACTGTAATTCAGAATACCATATATGCTTGAGTGCCGTGCATCCTTTTGTAAGACGCGTGTATTAATTTCTGATGCAAAAATTTCGAAAAAAATCTATCCCCGCATATGAAGCGCAACGGGGTTTTCAGTGGTGCAAAAATTGCTTTGTTTTTGGGAGATAAACGTTGAAAATCTGACATTTGGACTAATACACTCAGGAAGTTTGAATTCAAGTGTTCTGTACAGTACAGTATTTTTTTTTGGTTTCAAATTTTCATCTGCCAATTTTTTGTAGGCTGAATGTACTGTATGTTTTTACTCCTTCTATTCTCCAAAAAAGTATGTCTTTGAACGTTTATGAATCTGATTAAAGTACGACACGCACAATTACAGAATTGGCAGACAAAATTTTATATTGCAGTAAGACGCTTACCCCGCTTTTTTCTGTCAGGGCACCTATTTTTTAGGAAAAATGTGAGTGTGGTCCTTGATTAAATGCGGCATGCTGAGACAGTGGATGATGAAGAAAAATTCAGCCAATCCAAAAATTAATCGAGCGTATGAAAAAATGTCTGAGCTAAACATTGCAGCTGACCTAATTTGACCTTGCCTTTCATAAACCTACCTTTATTTCCGATTCTTTCCTTATCCAAGTCATCTTGACATAACATTCTTACGGTGTACATGTATTTACTAAAAGAACTCATTAATGCCGGGGCAGCTTTAAGAAACGATAATTTTATTTTATTATGTACAGTATTGTCAGTGAATTCAATTGTTTTATATCTTCTGTCTAGTTTGCTGTTCGGAAATCTCCTGGTATTTTTCGAGTTCGAAGGACAAAAGACTATTGGACTCGAAACTCGGACAACAGTTTTCTCTGCTCTTCTCGCAGTCGCCATTCTTGGTTACCTCGTATTTTGCGTCCTGCGTTCGTATCAACCAAACCGTCCCGGAAACACTTCGTCTGATGATCCGGAAGTTCTTCACACTGCCGGTGCTGTGTCTAGTCAAATCGTGCGAGGTCCGAAAGAGGCTTTGGTTGCCAGTGCCAAGCTTTTTGTCACAATGGACATGGCTTTGTTGAGCGTCACGTTCTTGTATTCTGGGGTGGAGATGAGTTTTTTCAGCGGGGTTTACAGTGCGGCCATTGGGTTCACGGACCAGCTGGGTGCGGATGCTGCGAGGTACATTGGAATTTCCGGAATGCTGATCGGTGCTGGAGAAATTACGGGTAAATTTCGCCTTGCCCCTGCGAGTTATTTTCGGGGAGACGTAATTTTTAAGAGATTTATTACATGGGTCAGCATCTGGTGGAAGCCGTTCCGGTATGTGTGACTGCCTGTCGGAATGTAAATTAGGAGAAAATATTTTGGTTCACCTTGAAAATTCTTAGCGAAATGAGTGCTTATTATTTCCTGAGAAACAATATTTTTTCGTGAAATCTATTAACCCCTCTAACGTATCCATTATCTGGTGTACGATGAAAAAATATTGCAAGCTCGAAAAAACGAATAATTCCGAGAAAGAAATGCTCAAAATTTGAAATTTAGCCGATACTACTTCATGAAATCTATTAACCCCTCTAACGTATCCATTATCTGGTGTACGATGAAAAAATATTGCAAGCTCGAAAAAACGAATAATTCCGAGAAAGAAATGCTCAAAATTTGAAATTTAGCCGATACTACTTCTAAATCAACTGTTCTGCGTTTTTTTTCAATTGTCATTTGCCAAATTTGATTTTTGCCTAGAAGTATGATTTTACTCCCTCTAGTTTAAAAAATATGTCTTCGAACGTTAATGAATCTGTTCAAAGTATGGCACGCACCAAAAATCACAACATTTTCAGGAAGCTCATCTTGAAGATCGTTGATGAAATTAGTGAATTGGAGAGGCGCCTCGGTTTATGGAATCGATCCATCCGAACGGAAATCCATTATCCGAGGTCTATTTAGCTAATTTGAACCTATTCCGGCTCTGGTTTTACACCTTTGTAATATTGCTTATGAGAAAATATTATTCGTTTAACTTGAAAGTTTGGGGTGAACTTAGTGCATTACAGATGTGCTTCGGACTTATGGACGTGATATGACCAAGGGGAGATGGACTTGATCCATATGAAGTCCGTTATCGAAAAATTATACTTCATTAATGATGTTGACCCATGCCTTGTTGAACTTATTCAGCATTTAATGAAAGCACCACAGTTGAACTGTTCAGTGTAATTTGTGAAATGATAGATGGGCTTCGGAAGATTTCGGAAGTTCAATACAGAACTTGAATTTCCATTTAAAAAAGTAATCTAGGGTTATATGAAATCGCCGATTGGTTTCAGACCCAAAGAGAATTTCTCGACGGATCAATTACTAAACGTTCGGCTAAGCTTTTCCATATTTTCTGGAATTGAAAATTATTAATTCTTCGAATGAATTGTCAATAAACATACTGTTGGTGATACACGGAAGAATAGTGTCTAACTCATTCAGGAACGAGGAAAGCGATGTTCCTCATTCTAAAAAAAACTATTATCAATTAAAAATTTTGAATTCTGAAAAGCTCTGAATAGTTTACCCTGTACTGTATTTCCTCAACCGATTTCAAATTTTCGCTCATTTTCAGGTGGTTTGCTGTTCGGCATAATGGGGAAGAAGACAATAAAGTATGGCAGAGACCCAGTTGTGCTGT